TTTTTGCAAAATTAAAGTTTAACAAAACATATTAGATATACAACAACTAAAATTCTACATTTGATATAATTTGAAGAAATTAATTAATTCATTGATGGCTATTTTAGTATTGCTCCCAATGCACCTAACAATGATATTATAATTTCTATTTTACTGAGAAATCGTAATAGTAATCGCTAATAAATTAATTTTTACCTAAATTTATAAAGCCATTATTATTGTACCATAATACAAAGTGATAGTTATCATTATTTATACTCAAAATAATTAAAGTTAGATGAAGATTGTACTGGTTGTATAACAGGAAGACACAAGTGTTCAGTGTTTATTATTTTATCCATATGCCCAATTTATTTAAATTGTATTTTATTAAATAAATTGCATATTCTCCAAATTTTTAATGTATATCATACCTCATATTATGATGTTTTTGATGCCTATGAATGCATATATTTGAGTAATTTTTTGCGCATACAGTTCCGAGTCTTCATTATGAAATTGCTCACCCCAATTATTTTTTAATTGTCTATATATTGTATAATAATTAATGATAGTTTAATATGCGTACTCTAATCAATGACCCGATCCTTATATCAACAATAAACATTGTATTAAGTTAACGACTACTAGGAATATTTGATGAGTTGCAACGTAAGCAACAATATAGTATTCTATAAACCAACGATTAAGTCGTCACAAACAAACCGATACGAATTATGATCAAATTTCGTAGGTACAAAATAGCATAATACAATCTAACAAATATAAGTCAGTCGAATTAACACAGAATAGCGTGTTTCTTACTTTTTAGAACCGGATTCCATGTTTTTTAAATTGTTGTCGATGATTAGCGGATATGAAAATTCTTTCAACTTATATATCAAAGTCTACTTGACGATACTAATAATTGCTTTATGTTCACACGACAATACTGTCAAGTGATAACAATGGTTTAAGATAATTTAATCGGTTTTAATTTAATATTGTATTTTATAATTTGTTTAATACCTAATCAATTTATATTTACGTACCTTAGGTTTCATATAATAAAATGGTTAACTATTGTAGTGCCTATAATTGCACAAATTCAAGCGATATTAATAAAGGATTAATTTTCCATAAGTTCCTACTTAAATTATTTTAGAATATAATACCTATTTATTATTTGCTATTAAGTTTTTTCATTGATTTTACTTAAAACTTCAATTCTTAGTTTTTTTAATTAAAATACCTAATTATATATTAATACTAATACATTATTATATATTTTACAAAGTAAATTATTTTAAAATTACCATTTTGTATTAATTTAAATATTAAAATAAATGTACATGTGCACCTATGCAGACTGCTTTTTTATTGAATAATAATCCAATATCTACCAACAGCAAACATAATTTTATCCTGTTAAATCTAAAAACCTTTATAAAAAATATATATTTATAGTGATGTTTAATATATTTAATATGAGGGAAACATCTATTCTCTCCAATATAAATGCCACTAACGAATGTCTGTAATTATTAATAATTTTTAGTTTTTTGGTTCAGAAAATTAATTCTAATACTGACACTATATACATTCATTAGTACTTGATACGTGGTAGTTTAAGCCTTCAAGCTTAAAAATAATTATTTGATAACCAGTTTTGTTTTCAAACACATATTGCAACTATAAACTACATTACACGTATATTCTACACATGCATGACTGTACTAGTTTGTATACTTATACTTATACTTATAATACTGCATATTTACGTTTTCTAATAGTGTTACACATATCACATTTAAAAACAAAAGTGGATTTAAAACCATATTTAATTTCTTTAATAATTCGCATATCTTTAAAACTGCAGTCAAAAGGTTTATGACTATCAATCAATTTAATTGCATTAAATAAATGCGAAATATTCACAATTCTTCTTCCGAGTATATCTGCATCTGTATTTAAATTTTCTTTTAAAAGAGAGGTTGAAATATTTAAATCTGAAGGTTGAGATATATCGTCAAGTGGTAAAGCTAATATTTCATCTTCTTTAGAATCCAAACAAGTAACTTTTCCGTGCATATGTGGTTGAAAGGGAATACTTCCATATCAAAAAAAAAAAAAAAATATGTATATTATTATTAATATAATAAGAAATTATTCACCACAAATATAATAAATGTATTCAAAATATTTCCAATTATCGTATGTATACAATATAATAATATACTTTAAAAGTTTCAAGTACCCACGGGCCACAAATAATATTTTTAAATTACAACAAAATGGTACTTTCGGGTTATATCGACAACTGAAATATTTTCTACATTACTTGGTATAGACTTCCGGGTTATCTCGATTAACACAATTTTTAAATAAAAAAGTATAATGTTATATATTATAACATGGGCGGATAGGCTTACCGGGAAACCGGGCATTTCCCGGTGGGCCCTCCTTCATATTTTTGTAATGGGGCCCTTTATTATGTAATTACTTACGTTAGAAATTTGAATTTGAATTTTGTCTTTCTTACTTTGTCTGTAGTTTTCATCAACGCAGATATATTTCCCGGGTGCTTTTTACGTCTAGATAAAAGCACCTTTGTTTTTTTACCTTTCCTCCAATTTTTTAAATTATCCATTATAAATTATAATTCGAAAATAAAATTTCACCATGCAGTTGAGGAATGAAATTTCAAGTTCATACCTCGATGAGTAATGACAGAAATACTAGTTATATTATTATATTATTAGTTATAGTATTTGTACTATACAATTACAATAGGTATTATAGCCATAGCCGGTTTCCATACAGCCGTAGAAGATAATATTGGTATTATTATTATTATGATTCTAAAAATATTATATTATCGATACCGCAGGCGCCACACTAGTCTTAGTTGTGAAGTAGTGTGAGAGTGGTGGGGAGTAGCGCGAAATGTGACGCACGTACAGTAGTTGCAATCCGCAACGTCATTAAAACGGTGTTTTTCATAAATTAATTATTGTTTCCGGTCTCAAAAGGCTCATAAGCAGTATACAACTGTGGGATTTTGAATAATCGAATTTAAAATCTGTAAAAAGATTTAAATTTGCCGGTCTGTCTACTGGGGATTGATCGAACAGTTTTTTTAAATGATTAAAAATCTATTTATTATCAACGTTTAAAATTACAGATTTGTAATATTTAATTACTAGGCCAGTAATGAATTTAAAAAAAATCGCCTCGATCGATCTCTAGGGGACAGATTGACAATTTCAAAACTTTTTTCAGAGTCAAAATCCGACCTTCCTAACTTCTACAGTTTTATACCGCGTTAGGGTTGATATTTATATCAATGTTGAATCCCCTTAAGACCAATTTAGTCATATGGAGCCCAAATATGGCGTTGTGCAAAACCAACCCAAATTAAAACAATTGAAGCCTTTCAATCAATTTCCTTCCGCACAATAACGTCAGCTCCTTGGTATGTTTCTAACTATACCCTTCACAAAGACTTAAACATTGAATCAGTTGAAAACTTAGTTAAAACCCATTATAAAAAGTTTCACTCCAAATTACTTCGCCATCCAAATCCTCTGATTGCAAACCAATACTCAGCCACAATTCCAGATAACCCCCCTCGTCACCTCAAAAGACGATGGTTTCGCGACCTCCTAAACTGAAACACCATTCGTAGTCCTAACAGTTACACGTCAAAAGGGTCCTATCACTGGATAGATTCCTTTCACAAGTCTTCAAAGTCACTATATTATTGTTAACCTGTTTGCTTATTGTAATATGTTTATGTACAGATTGTAAATGTTATTTTATTAATAAAAAAAAAAAGGAAACAGAGATATATATGGGTTAGAATAACCGGGCGAATTGGTTCGTGTAAAGATACACTGGCAATTCTGGATCTTGGCCGGCGCACTGCCGTGCGCTCAGATTTTCTTTATTATTTACCGTTTATTAAGTTTATTCAAAATCCCAAAACAGCTGTTTGCAATGCTTGCATTACAGTAACTGACAGTTACTAACTGTTCATGAAAATGTCAGATAATACCATAGAATATAAATAAATAAATATTGAATATATATATATATATATATATTATTAAATTAATCTGTATACATAAATAGTGTGGTTTTGACATGTTTCTTCATTGAAAATCATTTGATGTAATTATTGATAATAGATATTTTAATTTACTATTTGCAAGACCTACTAGCAATGATAAGAAAAATAGTTCATATCGTTGTGAAATCAAATTGTATGAATCATTAAAATTAGTGAACTTAATGAACTATGTGAATTAAAGAATAGCTCATTTGAATTATTAATTTCAGTGAACTGCGAACAAATGAACTTTTCCTTAAATTGAACTGAAAATTCCTTCTCTAATAAGCGCAGACATACTAAACGATGATAAGCTGCCCTCCGTACTTAATCATTGATTAGCCATCTATCGATAGGTTATTAAAATACTGAGTCCTATTCAAACGGACGATAATATTAATTATTCAATATACTTTAAAATATCGTTTTAACTATTAAACCTGATAAGTAATACGAACTAATTTTTACTTTTTTTTACTATTGTTTATTAAAAACAATCGAATAGATATTTTTAACTATCGAAAAATTCGATAGTTTTCACTATAGTGCCCATCACTTGTCAATACGTACGTAGTTGAAAGTGAAGTGTTGCCGTTTGTGTGTATTGAATTTTCATTTGTTTTTTTGCACAAAGTTGTCTGAAAATGGCCGTTGCTGGAGAATCATTGAATTTGGCAAAAGGCGAGTATTGTGCATAATGCCTAGCATTGTTGATGTGTTGCCCATATCCATTATAATTTATTTTGTTTTATCATTTTCACAGATGTCAAACGAGCAATCGAACTGTTGGAAAAACTCCAAAAAAGTAATAAATATGTTGTTAATTTCTTTTACTTTTTTGAGTTAATCGATTTTCTGTTTTCATTAAGCTGGAGAAGTACCGGTGACCAAATTAGCTGCTCTGCAAAAAGTATTGCAGAGTGACTTTTTGTCATCAGTTCGGGAAGTTTATGAACATGTATATGAAACTGTTGACATACAAGGATCTCAAGTATGCAAAATATTTTACTTTCCAAAGAATAAAATTTTAAATCATTGTGTATTATATTATATTTTTGAATAGGATGTCCGGGCATCAGCAACAGCTAAAGCTACGGTTGCTGCATTTGCTGCTAGTGAAGGCCATGCCCATCCAAGAGTGGTTGAATTACCCAAAACAGAAGAAGGACTTGGATTTAATGTCATGGGAGGACGAGAACAGAATTCTCCTATCTATATATCTCGTATAATACCTAGTGGTGTAGCTGATAGACATGGTGGTCTAAAGCGAGGCGATCAGCTTCTATCAGTAAACGGAGTGGTTAGTTGAATCTCTGGTTTTTCTTAACTGATAATCTAATCATAATGTGATTGTTTTAATTTAAAATTTACTTTTATAGTGTGTAGAAGGTGAAAATCATGAAAAAGCTGTAGAGTTGCTTAAACAAGCTCAAGGATCTGTAAAGCTAGTTGTTAGATATACACCAAAAGTTTTGGAAGAAATGGAAATGCGATTTGATAAACAACGTGCTGCTCGAAGAAAGCAACAAAATTAATAATAGATTGTCGTTGGTATGAACTGTAGTCAATATAACCATATATAGTATTAAATCAACTTAAGCACAGTATCTACTTAGTTTAAGAGTGATTTAAGTATTCTTTTAATTTTTATTAATTTACTTTAATTGATTCATTTGTTTATATTCTCTTATCAAAGAATTAATTTTTAAGATTTGAGTAAATTTTGTTTTTGTAATAACAATTGAGTTGAATATACTAATTTAATTAAATTATACAGTAAGTAACAATTTTATCATAAAATAAAATAATTCACTTAAATAATGTTTATTAGTTATAGAAATAATGACCTCCATATCTTCAAAATAATTGTAATTTTACGTTATATTGAAAAGTAGATGAATTTTTTGAAATTAGCACCTCAACTAGAAAATGTACATGCTTTAATAAAAATTGTTTCTATTCAATAAATATATTAACACATTAAATTACATTAATTTATAATTTTATTTTACTATTACCACTATTTGTTAAACATTTTTATTTGTTAAAAAATCCAGTATTATATATTAATTAATTAAACACTGTGTGGGATTTAATTTAATGATAAATGTCCTATCAAAATATGTTTAATACTAGTGTTGTTTGTAGTTATATATATTCTATTATTCATCATGGTATCACATATTAAGCAATTATTATTTCAATTTTAATCGTATTTTTGTGCATTCTATATTTGTTTTATATTTTAATAGCTCAGTGTATAGACATGAAGAAACCAGTAATTATAATTGATTTAAACAGTATAATGTATGTTATTATTTATTGTTTAACACTTACAAATTATAATGAGTAGTCACAACATTGAATTTATTTAGTGCATCATACATTAATTATATGGCCTAAAAAATATCCCAGGACCTATAATTTTATTTAGTACTAGCTAATCCAGCAAACTTCATACCACCTAACAGTCGATTCTTTAGTTTTTATTTTTTTTTTATACTTTTTCTGCTATTTGGGACACCGGGTCAGTTGGTAAGATAAAAAGAGAAAAAAGAAAGTTGATAAGTCAACAATTACATTATGTCAAAAAATAAAAATTATAAAACACTTAAAATTCTTTCAATAGTCACTAAAAAATCACAATGAAAATTACAATTTCATATTTCTTATTATGATACCAACTTTTTATATTTCTTTTTGTTTGATTACTTGGCGCGTAAACAAACAGAGCAAATGGTTTTCGAACACGGGAACAGTTAACAAACAATTGACCATGCGAGAAACATGGGTTTTCTAGATTAATACCACAAACACTTAATGACTGTCCCTGTGATTTGTTTATAGTCATAGTGAAAGCAAGCCGTACTGGAAACTGGTCGTTTTATAAAGATCACATATATAGAAATATACAATGTACCAAAAATAAAGTTTATAAGGTTCGTGTAATAACAATTGTCATAAACCGGGGAGGAGCCAGTGTTTCCCAACTTTTAATAAACCGTGAACGTGTATTTAAAACACAATATCATCTAATTTCTGAGTACAAAATAGTAAATAAAAACGTACTATTTACTGATTTTAGCATTTGATCATCGGACAAAGAATTGCCGACTTTTTAAAATTTCTTAGAGTGGGACAGTGGCGTATTTTCAATTTTTCTGGGGGAGCCCACAGTTATATATATATATATTATTATACATAATTAATATAAACTATATATTATATTGTAATAGTTACGTCCTTATGCAGTTTTTGGAGGAAGTTGAACTAAATATATAATGTAATAATTGTAGTATTATGTAATATTATATATATGTACCTAGATATTGTATTTAGCATTATATATTATAAAGTATTATAAAATAAATTCCAGTTGTTTCAATTTTTTGGTCAACTCTTCTATCACTTTATCAACAGTAATTTCAACTTCCCTGTGAATGTTTAACATAGCCAATTCTGCAAATATGTAAGACTTGTTAATTTTTTATTTTTTGGAGTGGTTCTGGGAGGGTCCAGTACCCCTGGACCCCCCGTAAATACGCCACTGGAGTGGGGCATTTGCCATAGTATGCTCTCCCCAAATAATACGGTCTTAGAAGATTATCTTCTGACTGCGGATTATAATATAATCTATTTCGTTGTCTGTGTTAATATAGTTATTATCAGTAGTTAACGTTCAGCCATCGAGGTATATAAATGCGGGTACACACTGGAGCTTTTAGCTGTAATGTAACGCCATAATGTAACTGTAATGCTCAAATGTGAACGGTGTTACTGTAACATTCGTGCGCGTTTGGCTCGCGACGCCGTCGATCCATCAGAGTGTCGGTATTTTGACGAACATCAAAGGAATGTTACATTACGACACGACGCTAGTGTGTACGGTAAACTAGTTGCTCGCAGCGAATCGCCCTGATCGCTGTTCCTCATCAGTACTTTTACATGACTCAATTACATTTTATCAATAAGTGTTTTATTTAAATTAATTAATTTGAAATGAATTGGAATAACGAAAAAGTGTTAGACCTCATTGAATGCTACAAAAATAAACCGGTGTAACAGGCGATTATTACCCCCCTCACAATTTTTTACTGGGAGGTATTAATCGCCTGAGGTAATAATTACCTACAGCAACAGGCAATTATTACCCCCCCCTCCCCCCATAATTTTTTACTAGGGGGTATTAATCACCTGAGGTAATAATTGCCTACAGCAACAGGCGATTATTACCCCCTTCACAATTTTTTACCGGGGGGTATTAATCGCCTGAAATAATAATCGCCTAATATTAATACCCCCAGTAAAAAATTGTGGGGGAGGTAATAATCACCTGTGACACCGGTACTATGGTTCCCAAAGGATCCAAAGTATTACAACAAATTTGCGAAAATGCGTGGGATGATTTGGCCAAAGAAATGAAAATTACACCAGATGAATGCAGGAAAAAAATAACCAGCCTTAATGCATCATTTCGACGAGAAAAAATGAAGACAAAAAATAGTCAGAGAACAGGCACAGGTAATTATAAAACTATTTTTATAAATATTAAAATAATCAAAATATTTCGTTTTATTACGTTATTTAGAATCAAAACGTTATAACATTTTGTGTTAATTGTAGTTTAAAATTAAAATGTTTTGAAACTTTTATGTTATTAACAATTAACACGTTATCAAACTTTTTTGTTTAACAGTACACGATGTGAACTAACTCGAGAACAAACTATGAATAACTGATAGATAGACCGGCGAACAACTTAATACACGGTAGCACTCGTACACACTGGTCGTGTAACATTGTAACATTCAGGCGAGCACGAACGTGCTCATTACGGCTAAATGCTCCGGTGTGTACCCGCCTTAAGCTATACCTAGTTAGTATAGTTTATATATCTCGATGCGTTCAGCACAGATGAACGTCATACCATAGAATATAAGTGACTCTACCACAGAATACATTTTATAAAAAATAATAAATCTATTTTATTTATTCTGTGATATCACCATCAAAACAAACGACGACTCCTGTGATAAAATACGGTTATGGTGATATTGTAACAACAACACGGGTGATTAGAATTTAGAGCTGTAGCAATCTGCGGGTTTAAACGTTACAGCAATTTCGAATACGGTTAATGGAGTGAACGATTATGAATTTATTGTTTAGCAGTGAATCGAGTTATTTAATATCTGCTACCGATCGGAGCTATCCAAAATTATGCTGTCAAGGTGCAATTTTCATGCTATCATGTCGACCAACGTGAGGTTCAGCACGTACGGACTGCGCCGGTTGTTTATATCGTGTCTAAATCAGAAGAGTGTCACAGCCTGCCGTTGGTCCAAACAACAGTGGTATCTGAGCCATGGCCGAGATTCTTGCCAGAACTTCAAACTGTCTAGATTTTATTCTCATAGTCGACAACCACTTGCAGCAACACCCCCGCCAAGTATAGATGATGACAAATCGCAAAGTATCTTCCAAAGGTTCAAGAATATGGCTAAAAAGTACTGGTATGTTGTGCTCCCTGTCCATTTGGTGACTTCTACATTGTGGTTTGGTTCATTTTACTTTATTGCTAGCAGTGGAGTTAACATACCAGCTCTAATGGAATCATTAGGTTTTCCTGAATGGATCATTGATAAAGTTAAAAATGGCAACTCGCGGACCAGTTATTTATTGATTGCCTACGGCCTATATAAAATATTTACACCATTAAGATACATGGTAACGTTAGGCGGCACAGGTATGACCATACGTTATTTACGAAGTCTAGGATATGTTGTTGGTGATTCCAGCTGCCTCAAAAAGCCATAAAAAAAAATACATATTTTAGTATTTATAAGATTGTTTAAATATGTCAATGAATTGATGTTAAAATATATTGTTAAAATGTTATATTGCAGTACATTAAATTGTATAATATTTATAATATATTATTTTATTTGTCTTTATTATTATAGAGTTAATAAATAATCATCAGTCCTTAAATATATTAATAATTTCATTACTCCAAGGATTAGTGAATGTTTGAAAATAGTTAATTCTTCTGTTTAACAGTAAATAACTTATTTAAAAACTATGAATACTCAATTTCTGGTAATAAATATTGGTTATGTTGTCATTTTTTAGACATTTTGCTGAATTAATTATATCATAATTAATAGTTCTGATAGTTGATTTATAGGGATACTTTTCCTTTTATAACTTTGATTATATAAATAAACTCTAATTTAAATACTATTGTGATGTTATAAGTAAAATGAAAAATGAAGTTGACAAAATAATAGGTAGGAAAAATATACAATAAAAATAAATATGATACAGTTTAAAGAAGTCTGAATATAGTATGATCATTATTTTATAAATCAATACAAATATTATTATGATTATTATTTAATTAATCTAGTCTTGTTGAATAAATATTAAGAAAATATTTTATTTATAAACGAAGAAAATCAGATGCACACCTTATAAATATGTATCTAATAACAGTTATTAATAAATCATTCATAAGTTTGGAATTAATTTTAATTCAAAGAAACTTAGATTCTCCTTGTGAAAATCTGCAATTGAGCTGACTGGCTTTCTTCAATATTGACTTTTTTTGAGCATTGTCAAATTTGTTACTTTGTAGATCAATTTCTCTACTAAAAGGTCTTCTCTCATTAGGTAATTCATCTTTATTTTTTTCCTGAGACAAAATAAGAATACAAATATTTAATATTGGAATATTAATAACAGAAACAATAAAAAAAAATTTAAACCTAAGCTTTATATGTTAACATTAAGCAAAGAGATTGAATCACACATAAGGAGAATTTAATTACATTTTTTAGTAAAATTAAAAAAAATTATTACACAAGTAAACCATAATATTGAATAAGTTTCCATTATACTTGAGATATTTTTTTAGGGACCTAGGAAACATACAAAACCTAAACATTTAGGACATAAACCTAACCTAACCTAAAGGACAGTTATGCCTCTGTAGTCTCTATTTTTTTTATGATTATATAAGTTGTGTACCTAATAATATCTAGAGGAAAGTTCTGTATAACTGAATCACATTATGAACATTATAAAAGACCTATTCTTTTAACTACATAATTAAATTATTACAGCTCTAATAAAATTGCCAATTAAAATATTAGCAATGGCTATATATATATACATCCATCAGATAACAAAACCAAAAATGATACTTTTGATTTTATGAAATGTACCTTCTTAAGTTTTTTTAGTTTTTCTTGATGCATTTCTAATAAAGAATAAGGTTTTCGTTTTTCTGATGATTCTGCTAGCTGTTCTTCCATTTGTTCATCACGTTTTTGAATTGCAATCAGTTTCAAAGTGTCTATACTAGTTTCTTTGGCAGTTTTTGGTTCTTGAACTTTACGTTCTTTGTCTAATGGCGTGTCGGTCCATTCAGATCGGTTACTCATGTCTGGAGCTTCACTTTTTCTGAATTTCCTAGCACCTAAACCTAAGTTGGCAGCTTTTTCAGGAGGCAACTCTAACATCCATTTTTCTCTAGCTGTCTGGTGTTTACTTTCTTCATATATCTAAAAATTTGTGAATCATTATTTAATAATGTTGAAAGGCTAGTACAATACTCAAATACAATTTAATTATACAATGAAATAAACATACTTCTCCAGCAAATTTTCTTTTCATATAATTGGCACGCAATTCCAATTGTTTCTGTATGAAAAGTTGCTCAGAGTCTGAAGCTATTAATTCTGCAGGCAATGGACCAAAACCTAAATCATTATCATCAATTGGTTTACTTTCTTCTTCAATTTTATAATCTAAAGGCAATGATGGACCAGGTACTCGTTTCTGGGGTACCAAGTGTGGTGGTAAACTGGGCCCATATGAATGATTTGATTCACTAGTTGGTATATTGGCCTCATCAGATTCACTGTTTGATAGATTAGTTGGTAGTATAGGACCAATGGGCTTGGTGTCTTTTGAAATATTTACAACGGATGTCAGTGATTTTGGTTGAAAACTGCTTTTTAATGGAACTATCGGAATATGATATTCTTCTTTCTTGAATTTGTGTTTATGTTTTGAATGTTTGTGTTTCTTGTGTTTTTTATGTTCTTTACCCATTGTTAATAATTATTAAAATTTATCAGTTTCGAAACTCTTAATAGTCATAAAAATCGCCAGTATAAGTTTGAACAGAACATTTAGAAGTTTGATTATATCCAAAACTTTATTTCAATTAAATAGTTTTTAAAATACGTACGAAATTATTGTTGAAACTCAAGTAATATTCATAAACATTAAACTATGATAACAGCTTATTGTTGAGGGTCTGTCTATACGCAGTTGATTAGATAAACACCGTCGTTATCATTTTGTTGTTATCAAAAATAAAATTGTTATCATAAATAAATAAATATAAATATAAATAATTTTATCATCAATTATAAATTTATAATAAATGAATTACATTATTATATATGTTACAATGCAGTGGCGTATCTAGGATTTTTTTCTAGGAGATGATAACTATTTTGTACATTTGGAGCCAAGGGGACAAATATCTTTTAGGAAGATCTTGTTATCATACTTTTCCAGTTTCCGTAAAGTGCACTTTTATATAACATGATTTTATTTAAAACTATACCAACATTAATAATATTATACATTTATTTTCATAATAAGTATAAGTTAGATCACAAAATAATGTCAAAATTCTGTTCACCAATCGGTTAATTTTAAACGAGACACGATTACACGAAAGGACTGAGAGCAAATGTGAACACTGAACACATGGTTTACGCACTATCGCTAATATAGTATAAATTAAATAATTACAGATATAATTGATTAATATATCCTATATAAACTAACCATGAACATTAAGATATTAAATAATAATAATAATAATTCATCATAATTATCTAATATTCACGATTTTCTTGAAACTAATAATAACTATATTGTCTATAACTGTCTATGTCTATTATTAACTTCTATTGATAACGGATTGATGGAATACTAAGAAATACTAAGAACCATTACGGACTTACGGCTCAAGCGTTTAAAAGAAAAATAAGAAAAGTGAAATGAATAAAAAAAAAGGTTCTGGGGGTGATATATCACCTAGATCACCCCCCGTAAATACGCCACTGTTACAATGTAAATAAATTATCTATTGCGAATTTTCGCTATGGGTATAATAGTTTAGATGAAAACGAACAAATAGTAATACATTATAAGTAAATAATTAAAATAAATATATACAATTCAAAGTCAATCTGAAAATTTAAAACACAAATCTTCGAAAATACGAAAGTGTTTACATAAATTACTATTTTAAAAAAATTATAATTCATAAATTCTTTGATGTAACTTTTTAAAAATAATATTTAATGACTTAATTATATCATACATATTTTTAGTAGGGGAGGCTATAGCCCTCTCTTTCTCCCCCTTAGCACCATGCCTTAGCTTAGATCATGTATTAGGATAGCCTTACTGGGAATTTCCTTGTGGCCTTTTTTCGTATTTTCTCAATACCATTGAGTCATTGAGGCCCTTTTTTAAATTTCCTGGTCGTTCATTATGAGCCATGGGCGAGGTCTAAGATCTATACGCTGAACATGAGAAATTAAAGTATAAAGTCACGCCCATTGTAATAGACCATAGGCGTGCGCAGACTTTATTCGCAGGTTATGCAATAAGAAATATAGGGCCCCTCACAAATAAATTTTCTAATCTTTCCTTAATTAATTTGTATTTTCTTTTAACGCATATAAGATTCAAGTCACAATCTAAGTTTTTGCATATATACTACGTAGCTTCTTTACTTCCCTTAGAATCTAAAATCACACATAATTTTACAGTAGAATATTAAACAATGCACTGTAGAAATAAGTAGTTTGAAATTTGATTTATATTTATTAAAAAAAAATTTATTATTTATTTAAGATCAAGTATGTACTATATTGAATGCTTTTGAATAATTTTAACATATTTATAATGTTGTTATTTTATAGAGAGTACTTAAAATCTAAAGTTCAAGTCTTCTTTTTATCGGCACACATGCTTTGAATTCATCTATTACATCTTCAATATTGATTTCTGATGCCATCTTTTGCTCGATAAATATTAACATCAGTGAATCAAGACGTTCTTGTAACATAGTGTTTCTAAGTTTAGACTTTACAATAGACAATTTAGAAAAATCCCTCTCACACGAGCAGCTTGTCACAGGTATTGTTGCAAATTGTGTTAAAGCTTTATTGAAGTTAAAAAATATTGTTTTCCGGTCGTTTTCTGATAACCAATTCAGCCATACTACAGTTGTTTTAGTTGATAACCCTCTAATAGAAGTTCTATCAGACATATTTGTAATGAGCTTAATTTCAGACTCAAATGTAGTATTCAAATTAAATTTTTCCTTCAATATTGAAATATCATTACTCTCAAGCTTTAATTGATTTAAATTTCCTGTGGCGGTAATTAAATTTAAAGTTTAATATGGTTTAATAAAGTTATGGTTAAAGTTTAATAAAGTTTAATAATTTTAATAAAATTTAAAGTAAAATATGGGCCCCTCCAGTGGCGTAGCCACGATTTTTAAACGGGGGGGGGGGGCTAACTACTTTTTTGGATAAGTAAGGTAAGAGAGGATATGAGAATTCAGCCTTACCCCCCCTCACCATCTACCTACAAATTTCTAAACGTAATTCAAGCATTTTAGTATAGTTTTAAAAATATTTATTAATATATAATTTATAATAATAATAATAATAATTTTAGTTTCAGTGTTCAGTCACTTGCTCCACTCTGACAGCTGCATCTTCTTAGGCGAATTTCTGGCAAATTCAGTTATTATTTCACTTTCATCGAATTGCTCTTTTTTATTTATATTAGCCATAGCTAACCCATTCTGTCTGTTTTCCGACATGGTGCTTCTTAACAAAATTTTTAAGCGATTAAGTGCTGAAAACGTTCTTTCCGGAGTGAAAGAGGTAACTGGTAACGTGGCGAATAATTGTAAAAGTATTTTAATGTTAGGTCGAAGATTGGTGAGATGAGAGAGTGAATCAAGAGCAGAATTCGGTTTTGGAATAGTATTTTGACTCCATTGTTGTCTCCATATGAACAGGTTAGCTCTGATTGTAGATGAGGTATCATGGAGATCTTGGACATATATTTTAGCAGTTTTTATAATATTTTTATCGTCATACATATTTAAATTGGCCGGAATAAGTCCTTCAAGTGGCATAACATCAATAAGCCTTTGATTAAAACGAGCATCCATTGATTCTATTAAATAGTCAAGATACATTATACATATAAACACGCCCCATGGGGGGGGGGCTATAGCCCCCCATTGGCTAGCCCACTGGGCCCCTCACATGAAGCCGCAGACTATGCAGCGGCATACCCTGCATACCCCGTGCGCACGCCTATGTAATAGACAATGGTTTATTAGTAGTAGCAGTAGTAACTAGCAATAGGGTTTACTATATTTTATAATTATATAGTAGGCACTTGTCTACCGAATTATCAAAACCATTCGATATAGTTAAATATAATTAGACTAATACTCATGCTAAGTAACTATTAAAAATATTATTAAAAAATTATTTAAACTTGACTGATTAATAAAAAAAAAAATAGTTTGCTGTCAAATAATCAATACAGTTTTAAACCAGGTTTAATCTTATAGGTATAGAATTTGTATTATGTCTCTTAGTTTCTGTATTTTTGTCAAACCATAATTATTTTAATGGAATTTCAGAAAAAATTTAAAATACAAGAAAATTATTCCATACATAGCAAATTATGATATAAGCAATCAGTGAATATTTCAATTGTACGATTATTATTTTCGAGTTACGATGAAAATTAAAATTCGATGTTTTCGAAAACTAGTATGTCGTAAATGCTGCCTTTTTTTTTGTTGATTTTTTATTAATTCTTCTCAATTATTAAGAAAACTGTTCAGAAATTCATAAAATGATTTCCTTCAAAGTACCATTACCCTTAAAAGATTTCCCTTCAGAAATTTCTTATGGTTGTAATGAGATCAGCGCAATCATTCTAGCCGAAATTGTGTACATAGATACAAAAAAAAAAAAAAACACAAACATATCATAGTAAAACCAATACACGATGTCTTATTTCGAGTCTAAAACAAATGATTATTATACTTAATGAGTTTTTATTTGTATTCATTTTCAATCAAATTTAATTTTGACTTAAACTGTTTTCAAATCATACAAATTTGAGATAATTAAATATTATATATAGTTTAAATAACAAATAATTTCAAATAATTTAAAGATATAAAAATAATAAATAATAATATTATGAAGAAAATAAAAAAATAAAATTATAGATTTTATGTAAAAGTTCATTCATCTTTGGTTAGATGATCAGGATTCATAGACTTATTTGCACTTTCTTCATCATCAGTTGATTCAATTTCCCAATCAGCTAAAAATAAAATAAATATTACCAGGTAATTATAACTAAATAGTTATTATCAGGGTTTGGGACTTCAACCATTTATCTATTTTATTGGCTTAACATACAACTAACAGACTGCTTTTATTAGTTTATTTCAATTGTTTTCAATTGTACTAGCATCAAAATCTCAGCTTTAGTCACTGACAAAAACATAAAAATGATAATTAATTTCTTCTGTTTTTTTGTTTTTGTTTACGGTAAAGTAAGAAATAACTTTTTTTTTATTTACCTAACACATTTTCTTATAATTTAAACTAGTTTTTACAAAAGTAAAACGGTTAAAAAAAATAATACCTTTGAGTGTTAGTGAAAAATGTCAAAAATTATTTACGGTAAAGATGGTAAGAAGGTAAGAAACATTAAAATAAAACTTTTTTTTTTTTTGATAAAATGAAAAAATTGAAATTTATTTTTCAGAAAAATTAGAAAATCTATAAGGCTAGTAATAAAAAAGTTAAAATATTCTTAGAAACTTAAAAAGGTTAAAAGTCTGATATTTTTGAAGATAAAATTTGTTTTTACGTTTTTTAGGGTTAAAATCAAACAATAATATGAAATTTTTTTTTAAGTGCTTTAAGTCCCGAACCCGGGTTGTTACATAGTGAATTAAATTATTATTTTTTTCATTTTTTTATATTTAATAATGTTCTTTGAACTTATAAAATTACCTTTACATTCATTTTTTGTGTAAACTGAATTTATTAAACGATCAATATCATCAGTTAAACCTCCCAAATCTGTCATATCCAGGAATCTAAAATCATAACACTATACATTTTAATTTAGTGACTTCAAAATTATGTATAATTTTATTATAACTAGCTAACCCGACAGATATTGTTCTGTCTTAAATATTAATACTGAATTCGAATAGGTATAATTAATAAAAAAAAGTTTTTTTTCTTGCGTGTATATAAATAGGTTAGTTTTGTTGGGTATTCCAACATGAAAACAGGTGACATATAACTGGCCACGTGAAAAATATGAATTTTCAAGATTGATGTCACAAACACTTAGCGACTGCCCTTGAGATTTATTTATCGACACAGCAAATGCTAGCCGCACTGGAAATTACAACCGTTTAAAGTCGAATGGCATGTCGTTCGGAATCAAAGGAATCCGTGGAATCAAAATGTTTTTGCCTTTGTACTTCCTTTTCAAAATTGTGGCTTTGATGACGTTGTACATTAAATTCATCACCGCAAGTCAGGTGCCATCAAAGACATGGTTGGTTTATATTCCGCAACATAATGATTACTGGTTCAATTTTTTAATTGCAGTTTAAGAGGTGGTAATCCAGTGAATTCCAGGGAATTTAAAAACTCCGTTGGATAGTTGACAACATAATATAGGTTAATAACGGAATCAATCGATGTGTATGTCTTTAATTCGCTATCTTATTTTGAATCTGAAAATTAATTTCGTTGACATCAACGTTTTTTGCAGCTAATATAATTCTTTCACTCAACCATACATGATCTTTGTAATTTTGAGCAATGTTTGGCAAAACCTTCTTGATGAGTTCGGTCTTAGTTTCAGCATAGTGATAAAAATTTGTAGAAAATATGATGTATCGAGACGATGAATCAACAGGTATTTTGCCATTACCAATGTCGAGCAATTGTTTGGAAAAATCTTCTCAAGATTGGTCGTTCTGCAATTCAACTCGCATGTTTTTATTGGATTTGAGCGTTTTAACGTCTTTCCATAACTTAATGATTTTAAACATGCGTTAAGTTCATCGGCTGGCGTTGATTGTGGTATTACTGGTAGTGTTTGGGAAAAATCACCTGCCAATAAAATCATTGCACAACCAAACCGTTTTTGGTTTTTTCGTAAATTTTGCCGAATTTGGGATACTACCTGTATAGTATACATCTATTGCGCCGGTATAAAAAAATTTATATTAAAAAGGTATATATCTATTGCGCCGGTATAAAAAGGGTATATTTAAAAGGTATACATATATTGCGCCAGGTATAATAACTATACAATACAAGTAAAAATCATAATGGTTAAAAACAAAAATTAAAATTAATATCAAACTTATCATTCTACATACTTGGTATTTACACTAATAGTTTATATATATATAGTTATGTTTATTTTACTATTTATTTTTTTGTCATAAATTTAGAATTTGGTCTGTTTGTGATAACTAAGAGAACACGTTTATGATTGTTGCGTTACATTATTTTTAAAACTTCATAAAAAACAACAAATATTTGGATGGGATGAATAAAAATATTTCCCAAACGCTGAGTGAAATGCCTCACAGGCATTTGTTGTTCTTTCGCCTGATATGTTACACGATGACCAAAGATACGGGGGAAAAGATGCATTTTTATATTCGTATGTATCAATGAGATAATCGCTAAATGTATTAACTCGAATATCGATCGGCGTAATAGATGTAGACATTTTTTCCATCCCATAATTTTTCTTTCGTTACCTGTGATTTTCGGCGCAATCTATACAAAGCCAGTCTTGCTAAGTGCGGTCTAATGCTTCTAAAGATTTTTTCTGTGCTATAGTACACTCATCCCAAACTACTAATTTGCTCTACTGCAACACTTTGGCCATCGCAGAATTTCTTGAAAGGTTGCAAGTTAGTGTTTCATTTATTTGCATGTTCAATGGTAGCTTGAGTGCAGAATGACTGTCTTTCGACAACGAAGCAAGTGCAAGTGCGATCCAATTTTGCGATCGAATTGTTGCAAAATCAATGATATTAAAAACGTTTTCCCAGTCCTACCGGGAGCATCTTAAAAAAAAAAAATCCGCTAGTTCCATCGTTCACTACTTTCATTAGCGTATAGTATATTTTTATTGCTCATTTAAAAAGGGAACATTCCTTGGAACAGTTTCTTTTAATGCCTCGGAATCATATTGGGTTTCACGTCTTAACTCTTGATTAACCGTGTCGTGCATTGGGCGATTGGGCGTTGTTATTCCTAATAATATTAATCCTATGTTGGTAAGCATCAAGCACATATCTTTATTTATAATTAATACTTAATTGTACATTTCTTCTTTAATTTGCAAATTTGCATGTTCTAAGACGCTTCTGATGTAATATATCTTCGGCCATAAGATCTTTATATTTGTTCCATAAATCATTCGGTGTTGATGGGAATAATGTAGACAAAATTATAAAAACAATGTTTGTATTTGTTTAATATTTAACAGAATCACATAATCCTCGAGTGTGTGGTCCCAATGAATGTCATTTTCTAGCAATCCCAAACTTCAGACTTCTCTGAATGAACCGCATAACACAGTTGGCAGATGTTGGAATGATGTTGGGCCACGAGCATTAACTAACGCCTATAAAAACAATCGTCTTGGCTGGGATGAACTGTGTAAAGGCGTCCTAGCGCATCGATTAAAATTAATGCTTCATTGTGAATTTTTTTTTAATTTGCAAATCTGCATTCGATGTTTTCGCAACTTATGTTTATTTTATTATTTCTATTATTTTTTATTATTTGATTATTTATTTATTTATTTAAATTTTATGTTTGCAACTTATATTTGCGCAACTTTCTTCTATTAGAACCTTTTCCTGACAATAAAAAATATAACAAAAAAAGAATGGTCGAAATTGGTCCAGCTGTTTACGCGTGATGTCAAGACCAAGGGAAATAGGGATTCATTTATATATAGATAGCTAATAAGTAATGCATTATACAATATAATAATGCATTGCATAATATAGATATTTATATAAAATTAGATTTTAGGGTGGTTAGGTTAGTTTAGATTAGGTTTAAGTGGTTCTTATTTTTTAACTTTCAAAACGTCAATTCAGGTTCTCGCTATTTTATTTAAATCCATGAGAAAATATGTTAGGTCAAATTTGGTTACAAAAACTCAACTCTTCTAAATTAGAATTAAGATGGTTAAAAATGACCAATTAGGATAGTTATTGGTTTTTGATTAGGTTAAGTTAGGTTACGAACTAACTATTAAACTAAAATTATTTGTACGTATATTGACCCAGTAATTTTAAAATAGTTAAATTTTAAACGTTAGGGGATTTGGTCCAGAAAATTGTATGTTATAAAAAGAGCTTGTAAAACTATTTCTAATACATGGTGACGACAAGTAAAAAAACGAATACTTTAATTTAATTTTTGTTCAAAAAGAATGCATGGATCATTTAATCCTTTATAGATTGGCGGGACTTAAAAGTCCCGGCGAAAAAAGAAATTACATAAAATAATGCATATATATTATAACGTTGGTGACACCTTATATGGGACTGAAAAGTCCCGACAGGTTAGGTTAGGTTAGGTTATATTTACCTATTTGTGAAATTTACATTAACATTTCCTGGAGGAATTCTTTTTTTATTTTTCTGAAAACATAATAAAATATTTTTCTAATACGTTTTAAAAGTTTATTGTTTTTATGTTTTTTGATACTTACAGAAATGGTGTGGTTATGTAATTCATGATCTGTTGTGATTTGTTGAGATAAATATGTTTTACTTCCAGTTGTAGTTGGGTTAATTGTATCTGATGAACCAGCTACTTCAGTGAAATATTCTAAATGTGATTAGTTTAGATAAATTAGTGTTATATAATAAAGATATTTTAAAATTACAATTTTTAGTTTCATAATTAATGTGATAATATGACGAAACCTGTAAACTGTGTATGAATTGTAGTAAGAATTGAATTATTGATAGGTGTACAGAATACAACTCTAAATACCTGGTGGAAGAGACAATATAAATACAGTAAAACCTCTCGATGACAATATCGCTTGGGACTAAACAATTTTTATATTATAGGTAAATATTTCGTATAACATAAATTTATTATTAAAATTTATAATATATGAATTAATATTTAAATGTATTTATAATGTGATGTATAATACATATATACTAAAAACTAAAAATAAGAACTAAAAAAACATATTAAATATTAATTATATTCATAATTAAGAAAAATAGTTTGTAATATGCTGCTTTTTATGATTAAAGGTACGTTCCGCACATCCCCGTATTTTTGTTGTTCGTTCAAATATAGATGAATTTTAAATCGTGGCTGAAAATTCGAATTTTCTAGTTTGATCCCAAAATTAATAGAGGCAGTCCATGCATAGGTAAACATTAGCATCACCAACTTTTAAGAAAGCTTGAATGACCAAGTCAAAATTAAAGTTCATGTTAATTATATTTTTTGATGTTAGGTTAAGATAGGTTAACCTACTCTAACTTGTAGGGAGTAATTATAATTGAATGGGTACCTCAAGGGCAAAATATAAATCAACAATATTATTTACAATTATTATAGCATATCTAAGGTTTAAACTATAACATAGTTGCACCACTACATGCAACATTATCTAAGAATATCAGGACATTTCTATTCTGAGATCGCATATCTGCCCATACGCAATCACTGCTCCATTAACTCAGTTGTCACCCAGGTTTTATTAAATTTCCAAATGACAAATAATGAAAAATTCCAAATTTTTAATACACCGTAGTTTTGAGACTTCCCGATAATTTAGCGCTTTACTCATTAGTACTAACGGTTTGGTAGAGATACGTCTAAAAAAAACACTCGTTTCATCTGAATTGTACATGTCTTTTGCTTCATATTCAACAATGAATCTCAAGATTTTTTGTTGCCATTTCTCTACAGTTTCTTAATTAATGTAATTTGCCTCATCATTAACTTGTTTCCATACAATAGCATCCTTCTTTTTAAATTTTTCTCATCAACCATTCAAAGCCTTAAAATCTTTGACGTTCATTTTTTCATCAAATTTCATAGTTTTTGTTTGTAAAATTGACAAATTTTAATAATAAATCACACATGCAACTTTTGGTAAATTTGTTTAATTATTTGGCCAATCAAGGTGTTTTCATTTTTTCATTCATTCCCAAGTTTTTTCTATTCACCCATTGATCCATAATCTTTTCTTTATTTTTTATTGAGTCGTAAATTTGAGTTTTTCCACGGTTAAATGTAGTAATAAATACCTTCGAAATTAGTTTTTCTCTTCCCTTCAACTCGATCAATTTAACTTTATCCAAAAGTCAGTGCTGTACGTGGCATATTAGCAAAAAGAGCGGATTCAGCATTTATTTATGATTGGAGCACTTAACAGGAGAAATTTTAAAATATATCTAATTATAGGCGTATGTAAGGGTGTCTTAGGGGAGGGCTTAGACCCCTCCATAAAAAATAAATAATGTGACAATATGTTCTAAAATTGTCAACATTTATTTTTATTAGTTATTATTTAGTTCTTCTAAATATGCTTCTTTTTTAATATTATTTTTTTCCAACAAGGGTGGTACTTTTCCCCAGTTTCCTCATTTGGGATCTGCTGATAATTAATGAGAAAAAAAAGAGTACGAAAATGAACTAAATTACAACAATAAAACATACGTGACCACTGTAGGTTTACTAAACATAAGTACATTATATATCTAATCTTTGTCATACTTTATTTACACGCTTATTAGAAGGTAATAAATTAATTAATATGACAATCGTGAATTGATACCATTGAATTATATTTCAGATAATGATAAAATTTAAAATACTTAAATACCAAATATATGTATCTATATAAATATTATTTATCTTTAAATTATTTTATTTTTTGTCTTATGGAGAGTATTTATACTAATTTATACTAATTGGACCATGTATCAGTTTATTAAAGGTTCCACTTTAGAGAGGTTAGTTTAATATATTATTTGAATCGGGATTATTGACATTTTTCATAATAAGAATTCAGACTATGAATGTCTGTTATAAAGAGGTTTTACTGTATATATAAATCTAAAGCAGATATGTAGAGTATTTAAGACAGAATTTATAACTTTTTATATTTACACTTAATGTAGTAAACACTATGTAGGTGTCTTAAAATAAATATAATAGACACAAAGTATTCAACTAAACATTAAATTTATTCAAACAAGTATAAAATTAATTATAAAACAAATTAAATTAATTAAACAGTTTAGTATCTAATACATCTTAAAGTGTTGTTTTTTTTATTAGTAAAATGTTATTAAAATTAGTAATTTTTTTAAAGGGAGTATTTAAGTATTACATCAGCAAACCAGAAGAAGGAGGGGTTTGAGAAATTCGACAGTAACTTATATAGTAGAAGGGTAGGCTAAATCTCAACTCTGATGTCAGAATGGTAACTATAAAAATTTGAACAAACACGCAAAAGCAAAAGTTGATGAATTACTAACAACACCAAAGACTTGTCATCTTATAATTTTATTATCTTTATTTTAGCTATTAAAGAAATTAATTTTATTAATAAGATTAAAAGAATTTAGGGGGTCTATGAAAAACGTTGACCTAAGATAGGAAACGGTAGTCATTGTCTGACTAACACTGAAATGAGCAGAGGGAGGGATAAAAATGCTTAAAAAATGTGCTGACATAATACTCGAATGTTCTCAATGTTGCAAAATATGTTATTTAAACTAAAGAAATCTTAAACATTAAAAATGAATAATAATTTTAATACCTGATTGAGAACTACACATAGCATTTTCCATTTTTTTCAAGCGAGATCTAATAGTCAAAATAATAAATTATTTGAGTTATGATTTAAGCGTTAATTCAAAATAAAAATTATAATTCAGTTAGTTTATATATATCATCAGAACATAATAGAGAAGATAAAAATTAAAACTATATATTACCGAGCTTCAGTTATTTCAGATTGAATTTTATTAATCATTTGGGAACTTTCTGTAACTTATACAATGGCATTTAGGTTTTAATTGAAATAAACTAAAAGATAACATTGAATTCAAAAAATTAATTAATAATTACCTAATTTTTTTGGTGAAATTAAATTATGTTCTTCAACTTTTCTTAAACAATTTTCCAAAAGAAAATCTAAAATAATACAATTGATTAAAATGAATGTTTACTTAGTTAAACCGAAATCTATAGAAATCATATTTTACTTAAGAAAAGCCTTACCAATTAGTACTACATAAATTATTACTAATACATTTTTATAGCTATGAATAAATATCTTAGAACCAAAATCCATATAATGTACCCCTGAGTAACTAGTTAAATATAGAATATTCAGAGAAGGTTTTCTAGTTCTTTTCAATATATTCAACTGTAGCTTGGGAAGATAAAGGAAAATTATCTTAATATTACAAATAAATATACATTAGTTCAAATAATTATTAAGATTTAATACATAAATATAACTTACGAATATAGATTTAAATATTAGAACAAAACGGAGATCAGTTAAGACGCATGGTTGTCGTGGCTGAACTATAGTTTCTTAAATTTATTCAATATTATTTGCCATATTATATAGGAGACTCAAAGGGGGTGTAGTGCCTAATAGGTAATATACATATCGAAATACTATGCGTATAAGCTAATTATGATATAACAATTATTACAATCACATAATTACATTTTTGTCAAATATGTAGTGGTATTATTAAGGTAATATTATACATACCGGGTTGATCTGTATATTCAATATTATCAAGTGAAACACTAATAATATTATTTGCATGCATGGAGCTGGATCGATCAGGATTCTAATAACATAACACAAAAATATGGTTTTATATACATTTTTACTTTGATTTTGGAATAAACAAAATATAAAAATTACTAACATCTGATTCTTCAAATAGACGACTAAGTCTCTCAAACATAGACTGTGCAGTTTCACCTTGATAACGATTTTGAAATTCATTATCGTATAGAGTTTGTATTGATAGTGGAGGATGTACTAAATTTGAAGCAGTTTCACCAGATATTTCTTGAATATCTTCAGACTTGTTTGGACTACAAAGTTGTCTATATATCAATGTAATCATTACAAATCATTATTTGAATTTATATAATATTATTTAAAACTATATAGAATCAATTATAACTACTCAGATGCTTCATCACAGTCAAATTCATCTAATAATGATTGAATTTTAATTTTAAGCTTCTTTTTTGGACTCTGTAACTCTTTACTAGTTGGTTTAATTTTATCAGGGATTTTCTAAACACAAATGAAACATGTGTTAATATTTTAGATTTAATATACAGTCGACTCTCAATAATTCGAAGTTGACGGAACTGTTGAAAAATTTTGAATTACTGAGTTAAGAAAAAAATTTTGTTTTCTTTTTTACTGTACATAATTATTAATTATTTCAGAAAATTAGAAGGTATTGGTTTTGTTTTTTAAAATTTAAATTTTAACTGTATATTTTAACCATTAGGTTAATTATTAAATTATATTATTAATTATTAAATTATACTTTGTAAATTAAATTAGTATTATAAAAAATTATTATTCTTTAAAGAAATTTGTAATGGTTTTCTGCTTCATTAAATTTAGTTTCATTTTTCAAAAGTATTTTTTGAATTTGACGCACTCATTACAAGAACTTTACAATTTACCAAACGAAACTAAAATAAAACTACCTTCGGCTGATGGCTATCGAAGAGATAAATTAGTGATTATTAATAACGACTAAGAAATAAAACGATAAGGTTCTTACAATATTAATTTTATAGTTATCAAAAATAATATGCTGAATTTCTACACGATTGTAAATTATTAACTAAAAGATTATAAGAATACAGATTATATATAATTACTGAATATACGACGAATTGCTGAGCGTTGAATGGATGATACTTCAAATTGTCACGTGTTAGTTGCAAGTTCTCCCAAAATTTAATTTCGAATTACCAAGTGTACTTAAATGCATTGTTTTTATTTGAATTACTGTTTGATTTTCAAGGGACCAAGCATTTACTTTGAATTACCGAAGGTTTCGAATTATCGAGAATCGACTGTATTATATATATAAAATTCAACAATATATTTAAGTATATAATATTATTATAAACAACCTGTTTAAACTCTTCAAATTTATGTAAAAGTGCTGTCCTTTCAAGTTCTAATTTAGACAAATACCATTGTTGTTCTCTACATTTTTGATAATAAGTAGGAGGCCGAACACTGAATCTGGCATAACAAAATGTTTTACTAAAAAATAATTATTAAATAGTAGATAAAGCCATTAACTAACTTTAAAATTAATGAATTCCTAAGTAAGAATCCTTCAGTACTCAACAAATCAAGCCTAAAGAATCTATTATATCCCCAACATTCACCGATTTCAAAATCTGAAGTGAATTCTCTGAGTACATTTTTAGTCTCATCATTGACTTGTAATTGATTTACCATTTCAATACGATATTCGTACCTGAAAATATAAATATAATTCTACAGAAAATAATGTAATGTGATATAGGCAAAACAGATAATTAGATAAAATGTATGTAAATAGATATTACAATAATTTAATAAATAATTAACCTTGACACTCCAGGTGGACCGGATGTTAATTCTAAAAAAACTGATAAATATCTATTTCTGACAATACCATTACCACTGGGATAAACTTTAAGCCTCCAACTGACACCATTGCAACCAATTGGTAAAGAATAAATTGGTTCAAGTAATAACATTTTATCAGAAAATGATTTAATTACTAGAGTACCTCCTTCAAACTTTGGTATAATTTCACTAAAAAAATAAGTAATAAAATTAGTATACATTGGTTTTACTTCAATAAGAATCTAATATTTTATATTGTTGATTCAAATTCACCTATGGAAATCGTCATACACAGGTATTCGGACTGGAGCTTGTTTTTTTTGCATTGCAGAAATGGTTCTTTTAAATCTAGGAGCATGATTAATTAACTGCGACATTGGCATTCGTGATAGTTCTAGATCACATTCATGCAAAAATTCTTCTATTTGTTCTGATTCATTGACTAGATGATTTTTTTGAGTTAGTAAAGAAGTAAGTTTGTTATTCAGCTCTTTATCCAAATCCATCATCATACATTCTACGGCTGACCGAATTTCACATACTTTTTGATCTTTGGCTTGTTGAATTTCTTTAATATTTTTATCCTAAAAATAAGATAAATTTGATTGAGTTGTATAAAATATTTATTACTATATTTTCAATAACCCTTTTAGATAAAATATGTAGCTGTTTTTTTTATTTTTGATAAAACATAAAATATTGGTACTAGTATTTTCAATACAAAAATATTTCTTAGAAATATTTTATTAGTGTATATATATATATTATAGCTTAGATATTTTAGTATTAAAAAGAATCATTTAAATACGCACAAGTTCCTTTATTTCCTTTTTGATTGATTCTTCTTTTGTTTTGAGATTGTCACAACTTTCTCCTAGCTGTGCAAGTGTCTCATTATAAATTTCTTCTATGGGTCGGAATGAATGACCACAATGGCTTGAATTATCAAATAGAGCACAACGGTGGCATATAGTTGTGCTGCATGTAATGCAAAACACAGTTAGTTGTTCGTTATGTGTTTCACATCTAAATCATAATAGTTTATATTCTAATAAATAATACTATAAATAAAAATAAAAATAATTTGATTATAGGTACCTTTGTTCTTGACTCTGCCTTACACTGCTTACACCAATAGTACTGTTCAAACCATCTAGTTGATCAGATAAATCTTCAACCCATCTACAATTCACAATTTCATGTAAATGCAATGTAGCTCGGCAATGGGGACATTGAGATCGTTGTTCCGTGAGCCATCGATGCATACAGGAATAACAACATAGTTTTGAACAATGAGGACACAAATGTGCATCTTGTATTTTTTCCATACAAATGAAACATTTAAATGTTTGAAGTAAAGTCTATGAATTAAAATAAATAATAAAATTATCTTGTTGACAAATTGTCATAAAAATGCACTTAATACAATTATTTATATACAATTTATTGGTGTATTTTGCCAGATGCATTCACTGGTGAGGCCACCTGTCATGAAAGATATTAATTGTAGTTAAATACATTAAATTGTTTAAAGTTATTACAGCAAAAAGAAAAATTTTTTTAAAGGAGGATTAAGATTTTAAAAACTGGACAAGCAGGCCTATAGCCAAGGGGGAGGGGCAATGCTCCTCTGGACCTAATCATTGTTTCCCAACAAGTATTAAATGTGCATATATACTATGTAGTGATATATTATGTTCTACATTGTTTTTTTCTTGAGCCCCTTAAAATTTAGTTTGTCCTAAATCATGATTTGGTTTAGTTACAGACCTATGGGTAAGCCATCCAACACAAAAAGTTAGCTCACCTTAATCACAGACGGGTATATGTGATGTACGGATAAAAAGAGTAAGTACCTGTAAGTATTCTGGATCAGGTGCCATGGCCATTTTAGAATTTAGGGATTTCAATTTAACTGAAACTGCGTCTATAACAGACAAATTGACAATAACACGGATAGCAATAGTTAACTTTTGAAAAACAAATAATATTCTATAGACGCCAGTAGGCCGTCAAAGGACGTCTATGGAGAATAAATTGTGAGGGAAATCCTGCAAAACTTATTTAATAAAATAATACTTAGGACGTTAAAATGTCTTGTTCACTGTTGATGTGCAATGTGTATTAAGTATTTGTGTAAGAATTGTTTTCGAAATTTCATAAAATACGTCGAACGGGTTCTAAGGGAAAAGTAACGTTTATAAATAATAGTAATAGGAACGAAACAGATACATCCGTTGACAATTATCTGATGGTATTCCAAAAAAAATCGATAACACTTGTCGTCTCATTAGTGATAAGATAGTCATGTTATCATGAGCTCAGGGCCAGGGTTCCCAAAGTGTGCATGTAAAATATTCGGTATCACAGAATAATTTCAAACACAGAGCAATATTTCAAAGCAATGGCGTAGCCAGGGCTGTCGATTATGCTCGTTCGGGCCTTCGAGAGCGAAGTTCATTATTTTACGGAGTTCGTTCAAGACGTTTTGCATCATTATAAAATGCATACACGTAAATGCCGCCGTATTATTTTAAATGTCCACACAATTATAATCGGTATATTATGGGTACCATAATATACCGATTATAATTTAAGTCACTGCTTACCTAAATAATGTATCATATAGATCGTAGAAACTGTATTATAATATAGCTTGATTTGTATTTATCGAATTATTACTTATTCAAATATAATTAAATAAAAAAACTACAATATTACCTATTGCTTATTAAATATTTATTTTTAATGTTATTAAATTATAAATACCTACTTACAATATGTCTAATATCGTTTACAATTTTTATCTAACGAAATTTATAAATATTACATTTTTTTATATGAAAATGCAGTTTCTATTCTTAAATGTATAATAAAAATTAAAACAAAATTCCAAGTTTTGGTTGTTTTCGTACGTAGGTGTAATTAAATAATAAATAATAAATACTTATTTTGTTGATATCAGTGGCGGCTCGTGGGGTTCGTTGAAGGTGGGGCACAAATATTTCCTTCTTTTTCCACTATGAGAACTTTGAACTTACCATCAATTCCTGTTGATTTTTTAAATGAAATAAAAATTTTTACCAAAACCTTATACTCTTATAAAGTATCTTGCAAAACAAATAATTAAAAAAAAAATTATGGTTTAAAAATAAATATTGAATATAATTATTATGCCGTTATAATATAATTATAAGTTGTAAGTACTTTTAACAATTAACACAATATTATACAGTAGTTATATTTTTGAATTCCAAATCGATCCGTCTGTATTTTTTCTTCATGAATACTTTGATGACTTCTTCATTAAAATTTGATATTTGGTTCACCATTTTCTTTTCAATTGATAACATCGCTAATGCTGTTAATCGCTCTTCTGCCATACTATTTCGAAGAAATGTTTTTATCCTCTTCAATGTCGAAAACGATCTTTCTGCTTCTGCAGATGTCATAGGTATTGTTGCTATAATACGTATAAGTTTAAATGTTTCTGAAAATATTTGTTCCAAGTTGTTATCAATAATAAACTGTAGTAAATTAACAGCACCTATTACGCTACGAAAATCTGTTCGTTTATATATAAGTTCCAATTCAGTTTGAAGCTTCCTTTTATTAAAAAAAGGGTAAGCTTCAATTGTTTCATCAACATATGTTTGTGGAAAACTTTTTTGATACAAAGGAAATTCAGTGGACATAAATAATAGAGACGCGTTTAAATGAGCTTTATATTCGAACCTATCTTTAACACAGACAATAAGAATATCACAGACTTCTTTTGCAACACAAATTCTAGAAAGTAGTGTATCATCATCACGTTTTCTTTTTTGTTTACATTGAGTTACTTCACCTGGCATTTCATTTTGAAAATTATCGAAATTATCGTCTTTCTTTTTGAATATTTTCTTCAAATCGAGAAATGGCATTTTTCACTTCGATAGAGTCAATTTTCCGTTTTTGCAACTGGTTATATAATATATCTACATGTGGCATTAAACAATGAAAAACATTTAACCAAAATATAAATTTTTCATCATTTAACATTCTACGTATAGCGCACGCCTGATTAATTGCAATATTTTGATTAAATGTATTTTCGATCTCTTCCATACATTCTATTAATAACTCACGATTTTCGTGTACAGTATTAACAATACGGCTTTTGAAGTTCCATCTTGTATTTGATGATCGAGGGATTCTATGGTTAACAACTTTATCCAAAACGGCAACTCTTTGCGGAGAATTAGAAAAAAAATTAGTTACATCAGTCAAGTTGGAAAAAAAAATTCTTACATCACGGTTGTGCATTGTAGCTTGACTTAAGATTAAATTTAACTGGTGGGCATAACAATGAACAAAATGTGCATTTTTATATTCATCTTTTATGAGTTTTTGAACGCCGGAAAGTCGACCACTCATCACAGCAGCTCCGTCATAACTTTGCGAGATTAATTTGTCGTGGTTTTCTGTTACTTCTTTTAAGTTATATTTTATACACTCTGATAGTGACTTTGCATCATGTCCAGATGGATTAAAAAAGCCCTAAAATCTCTCAACTGGCGTACCATTGGATAAAATATAACGAAATATTATGGACATTTGAAATTGTGCTGATACATCTGTCGTTTCGTCAGATATAACAGAAAAGAAATCAGCGTTTTTTATTTCGTTTTTAATATTTTGTCGAATAACAAATAGCATACATTCCAACATTTCATTTTGAATTATTTTAGAAAGGCCTTTAAATACTGTAGACTGTTCGAGGTGTAATTTTAAAGTGTTATCCAATTCAGAACTAAAATTAATAAGTCCGCGAAATATTCCTGGATTTTCAGAATCTGACTTCTCATTATGCCCTCGAAGAGCAAGTTCAAATGCACCACAAAATTTAATACAATCAATAATTTTAGATAAAATATAACGGTTGTTAGTTACAGTTTCATTATGTTTTTGTATACTAAGCCTAAATGCATTTGAAAGTTGTTGCCTTATATCTTGTTTACCCAAAAGTTTCAAATTTAAATGAGCATTTAAATGTAAACTTGATTTTATGTGTGTACTAATTTTATCGTTCAAATGAGCTAAATCATTTATTCCGTTTTGTGACTGTCGCGTACTGCGTAGTCACACAATATAAAACACACGTTATAAGAGGTTCTCATGAACATCGAACTGGGCGTGTGAATAAGTTAAATTGTTCACATGATTATCTGTTTAAATAAGAATATGAATATCGGAGTCACATATACGTGGGTGGTTGACCACATCCTGGATCTTGTAATAAGTATGGGCCGGTCAAGAGATAGTACACGCATGCAGAATCAATAGAGAATTATCATATTTTAGAGCGCACACACCGAATCAATAACGTCTCATCGTGCCAAGACAGGCACGGATTCAGGGGGGGGCTATGGGTGCTCGGGCACCCCCTGTCGCCTTGGCCACCAACAAAATAAATTTATATTATAAATTATGTTATTTCTTATTTTTCAAAATAATAATAATAATAATAAATAATATCGGTTATTCCGTTATCGGAATTTAAATAATTTAATATCAGATATCAAAAATAGATTTTTAAGTCACGGACACGAAACGATTATGTATTTACAATATTTAATACCATTTTTCCTACTTGAAGATACTGTCGCGTATTGCGTAGTCACATAATATAAAAACACACATTATAAGAGGTTCTCATGAACATCGAAACTGGGCGTGTGAATAAGTTAAATCGTTCACATGGTTATCTGTTTAAATAAGAATATGAATATTAGAGTCACAGATACGTGGGTGGTTGACCACATCCTGTATCCCTGCATCAGTAATTATGTAATACACACACATGCAAAATCAATAAGAAATTATCATATTTTATAATCATTAACGCACACACACACTCACAATTTATAGGAATTATCTTATTTTATTATCTTATTCATTTACACACACACACTTGGGATTTTACACACACACATACAATATCACATATAAAAGGGACCCGAAAACAAGGGCAAATGAGACGAGTCTTGTCTATGCTGCACTGAGCACCTTCACGTCAGTGTATGTTATGGTCTGGACTTAGAAATATTTCCAATTATTTTATAAGTTTAATTGTTAGGACTTAAATAATTTCTATCACTAGAATATTTACAAAATTTGTAGTTAGAATAATTTTTATAAGTTAAATAAATTTAATTATTTTAAAAAGAAGTCTTAATTATTCCTGACTACACTTCCACACAAGCGTTGACTGAGACGTTGTAACTGAATTAAAGGACCATGAAACAAAAAAAAATGACTTTGATTCAATTAATAGGTAATTAATTAATATAACCAACGGTGGTATTAAAATTTGTGTATGTCGATTTGTTGAGGCGCTAGAGCCCAAGAGAGATAGGCGCGTGACGTCATAAGATCACACGGCGCGGCGGCGGCCTATACTTTTATACAAAAATCGCCGACACGGCCTAGGTTATTTATTTATATTTTTTGTTATATTTAACAAAAATTACAAATTAAGACAATAGTCATAAGAATGTGGGTTTTAATACAATTTGGTGTACGTTTGGTCGTATTAAATTTAAATGTACATAATTAATGTTTATTTCCTATAAGTTAATATAATATTAGAATAGCTAATGAAATAATATTTTTTCGATATTTCACATAAATATATATTTAAATATTACATATATATATATATATATATATATATATATATATATTTATGAATAAATATGTATTATACTAAAAAATAAAAATTACAATTTAAACATTTTGAACAGAATTATAAAATTAAATTGAAAATCTTGAATATCTTTTAGAACGTATTTCTTCAATATTTGGTCTTGGTATTGGAGCTATAGACTTGGGAATTTCTATTTCTTCTGGAATTGTTATAATGCTATTCGTTTGTTTTTTTTTAGCTAAATCAAGTACTTCATGCATAATTTGTTTTCGCCAATCAGTATCAGTACGCTCATATACATTTTTTATTGTATATTTTCCTAACGGTTTTGAGTATACCATTTTATCACCTATTAGTTGTTTATTTGTATTGTAATTATGGTCCAATATAGCCAAAATAGATCTTATGTACATACCTCTATATTTCAGATGTATCCGTTTTGGCATATATTTTAACCTTACATTATGATAAGATTCCAAACGGCCAGTATGCACAAAATGTTTTGCATGTGGTAAATCTTTTATAAAATCTTTTGCAGTTATAACTTTTTTTAATGCATAATATGATTCGTCATCGGATTT